CCCCCCAAGAAAAAAAGGGATATCTCTCCTCTCAGAGTCATGTGGGTTGTGTTGTATTGTCATAGTTAAATTATGTTCTCTCCAACTTCCCTTGCAAAATTCCTTAGGCTTGACTGGAAGGAAACAAGAGCTGCAATCATAATTCTTTATTATTGTATATAATGTGACTTCATTCTCAGATCCTTCCTTCCCTTTCAGGATTTGGGCAGAGAGATGAAAGAAATCCCAGGAGTGGGGCTCTTAACACTTTTGGAGTGCAAGACATGATGACCAAAGAGACTGAAGTAGGAACAAGGAATGGCGTAGGAAGAGGATCTGGAGGAGGACAGCCAGGACAGTGAAAGGTGTCTAGATCTTGCCATACAAGAATTGTTTGTGAGGATGAGGGATGTTTAGCCTGGAGAACAGAAGAGGGAGGAGGGGTAAGAGCATGTAATTACCCCTCAGTGTTTGCAGGGCTGGCCTGTGGAAGAGGGATTAGACGTGTCCTGCTCAGCCCCAGAGGTCAGAATGAGAGGGAAAGTGCAAAAATTTGGCAGATGTAGTCTTGATATGAGGAATTTCTAATGAAGACACCTGCCTGAGAGTGGGATGATCTGGCTCAGGGGCAGCAGGTCACCCTCACTAGAGGCCTTCCAGCAAAGGTTGTCTGTTATGTTGTAGCTCAGTTTCTTATTTGCTATGGTTTAGGTTGGACTAGGTAGGCTTTGGAAGCCCTTTCCAGCTCTGAAATTCTGTGATTCTATAACTTTATGGAGAAGAAGATCCCAGTAGATCGACAAGAGTTCCATTATCTTCCAAGTGGGATGGCATAGTCCGTAGGTGGCCTTTGTCCCCACCCTCCTCTCTCCTGCTTGCTGTTTCCCTTTCTCTTCTCAAGGCTTGCTTTACTGCCTAGTAATCTGCCAGTGCCCTTGAAGACAATCACAAGGGCATTCCTGCTGACTGGGCAGCCCACACATGGCTTTTTTGGTCCCAGGCCCCAGGAGGTTCATTTATAGCACCGGCTTCTCCTCCTACCACCTCCCAGGGCCCCTCCAGACACCTTATGAGCCTGCTTTCTGAGGTTCAGGGAGGTCCCAGGGGAGATGTTCTGATTTGCCAGAGGATTTCAGGTGCCTGAAAGTGAGGCGAGTTGGTCCTGGGTTTGTGTGATGGACAAAGGAGGAATAGGGGGGTGTTCCTGGTATTAGTCTACCAAGTCTATGGAGATCAGAGAAGCTGGGAAGCAGGGCTCTTGGATTCTCTTCCTTGTTTGGTCACTGACCTTAGGGCAAGTCTCTGCCCAACTTCATGCATCAATATCTCCCCATCCATCAAATGGCAAGATCTCTGCCTAGTTCCTCCCAATGCTCCCCCACCCGCTCCACCCAGGAATGCTTCAGAGGGCCAGAGATCACATTTGTAAACCTTGCTTTGAGTTCTGGTGAAAGGAATCTTCAAAGCACGAAGTGTCATTAGTGTAGAGCTTCTAAAAACAATAGCACTACTAATTGTCCTAATTATAACATTACAAGTAAAAAGAAGGGCCATATGAGCATCTGAAGCCAGTTTCTTAAAGGCTTGGATGCATTTTCCAGGGCCTCATGGATCAAATTATGAACTTAAACTCCTTCCAACCCCTATAATCCAGAAAAGTCAGAAAATACAATGGAAATCAAAACAGGGACACAACTGTTACTGATTATTCCATAAATGGATTATAGAATGCCTAGGAAGAGGCTATTTACAATTTCTGGGCTGGGAAGACAAGTACTAAAGTTAGAAAGTCATCTATACAGGGGTAATTTTCTCTTAACAAGCTGATTGGGGATGGAGGACTGGAAGAGCTGCCCTGAATTCTGTTCTTGTAGACAAGGGGGGGAAGAGATCAGAGCTGACTAGCTTGGATAAGGGAGGGACATGAAAAGACAAGGTAGGATAAGAAGAGAGACCTGGCGGGGGCAGCTAGGTGGTGCAGTGGATAGAGCACTGGCCCTGAAGTCAGGTAGGACCTGAGTTCAAATCCAGCCTCAGACCAAACACTTGACACTTACTAGCTGTGTGACCCTGGGCAGGTCACTTAACCCCAATTGCCTAAAACTAAAAAAAAAAAAGAAAAGAAAAAAAAAGAAAAAAAGAAGAGAGACCTGGGCCACTAATAGTCAAGATAGCCAAGCTCCATCCCTGGCTGTGTGGTGGGAAGTCCCTCCCAGTGCCGACATCTGGGGAGGAGGTGACAGATCTGAAGGTAGTTTGAGCTCCCCAGGCACAAGGAGGTAAATAGGGCGGGAATTGTGGCATGTGGCTGCTGGGTCCAAGCAACATAATCAATGTTTGTCTATTTATTAACAGATGTGGACACGAAATGGGGAATGTGAATGCTGGGGAGGGAACTATGGACTGGCATGGGCCTCCAGGGTCCTTATTCTCAAAAGGATGAAATTGAGATAATGTGCAGATATAGGGAAAACCTTTTTCCAGTGTACCTGCTTGAGGGCTTAGGAAGGGTCTTTAAGGACTAAGGTGGTTCAATGTAAAAGACACTATTTCAGGGGCCAGAGACCTGGGTTATAGACTCTTCTGTGTCCTCTCCCTGGATTTCAGTTTCCTCATCTGTGAAATGAGAGGATTGGATTAGTTGGGCCCTGAAGTTCCTTTCTGCTCCGACAATCTATGGTCACCAAGAATAGCTCATTGTGGTTCCTAATGCCAATGACCTGAAGGAACCTAGGGAGGAAAATTAGCTAGACCTCTTTAAGATTAGAACAAGGCCAGAGACTGGAGCAAGAGGGGAAGGAGCCCACAGATAGCTTCTACTGGGAGCCTTTCCCAATCCCTCTTCATTCTAGTTCTTCCCTCTGTTTTATTTCCTATTTATCTGTTTATAGCTTACTTATACATAGTTGTGCATGTTGTCTCCCCCACTGGATTGTGAGTAGGATTGCTCGAAGGCTTGGGACTGTCTTTTGCATTTCTTCGTATCCCCAGCGTATGCCCCTTGGCAAATAGTAGGTGCTTAATAAATGCTTACTGACTGACTGGTAGAGGGGAACAGTCAACTCTGTCACCTTGGCTTAGGGCGCCATCTACTTCCAGCCCCTACTGTTTTTCTGCTCAGTCCCAGCTTTGTCCATGGTCCTCTAACATCCAAGGATCTCACAGCCTTCTCCCTTCTGTTCACAGCAATTGACATTTCCTCCATTTTCCAGAAGGGCAGATTAATATAGAGTGAGGGAGGGGAGAGGGTCCTGAGTGATGGAGCTATTCAAATGAGAGGCCAAATAGCAAAGGAAAAGCTAACCACTGAAGGACCTACTCCTCTCCTTTCTGTCTCCTCCCCTTTTTCCATCCTCTCCAGCCCGGACTGAGGTTCTGAGATCACAGCCTGCCAAGCACAAGGGGGAAGCTGTCATTTGTTTCGCTGATTTTCCTAGTTACAAGGGAGAGCTCAATTTAGGGGGTGGGGGTGGGTGCCTATGAACAGCAATGACTGATGACATTAGTAAGACATTTTAAAAATAAACCAAGAGACAAACATGCTTGGGAATGCATTTACAGAATCATTCTCTCTTTCTTTCCCTCTGGGTCTGTCTGCCTGTCTGTTTTTCTTTACTCCCATCTCCAACTCCCTTCCCCCCAATTCTCCTCCTCCTCCCCGAGTAGGCAGAAATTCCTTCCCATTAGTCTCATAGAATTAAAAACTTGAAGGGACCTAAATAGTTATCGGGGGCAGCGAGGTGGCCAAGTACGGATAAAGCTCTGGACTTGGAATCAAGAAGACATATTCCTGAGTTCAAATCTAGCCTTAGATACTTACTCACTGTGTGACCCTGGGCAAGTCACTTAACCTCTGATTGCCTCAGTTTCCTCATCTGTAACATGAGCTGGAGAAGGAAATGGCAAACCACTCTAGTATCTTTGCTAAGAAAACCTTAAATGAAGTCATGAAGTGTTGGACGTGACTGAACAGCAAATGGTCATCTGGTTCAATTTGTTTTTAAACAGATGAACAAACTGAAACTCGGGAAGGTCAAGGTTGTGTCCAAAGTCACACAGGTAATAGCATCAGGACAAAAATGTTACCCAGTCCTTGGATTCCAAATACAATGCTTTTGTCTCTATACCGCATTGACAATGCTATCCAAGGAGATTGAGAAGACACCCTGAGGCTCAATTTTTCTCTTCTATAAAATGAAAGGGTCTGTAGCATTTAGAACTGGAAGAGACCATCTCATTTTACAGATGAAGAAACTGAGGGGGGCTGAGAGAGTTGAAATGGCTTACCTAAGGTCATACACATAGTGAATGGCTTTGAGCTCAGCTCTTCTGACTCCAGATGTGGGGCTCTTCCCACGATAGCACATTGCCTCATGGTTCGGACTAGATCTTGGTCTAGATAGGACTAGACTAGATCTATTCCTGTTTTAATACTCTGTGATTTCCTGAGAGCTCTCTTCCCGTCTCTTCCTCGGGGTGTCCTCTACCCATGTGAGATGCTTGGCCTGACCCACTGACCTTCCTATCCTGCTCCTGGCCTGTTGATAATTTCCTTCTTTCTTCCCTGTGGCCCTGATCCCCATCTCTGAGTCACCCCCTTCTGATGAGTTCTCATATCCGGACAGAACCAGTTATTAACTGAGGCCTTTACTTCTCCCTCATCTTACTCCCCTATCTGGAGGTCTCTTGGGGGAGGAGGAGGAGGAGGAGGAATAAGGATTGTGAACCTTCATCTTTGGGAATTAGGTGGGGGTGGGAAGAGAGCAAGGATGGAGGAAGGCTATGGCCACCCCTACCTTCTCTACTACAGAGAGACCTTAGGAGAAGCTTTGCACGTCTAGGGGCTTTGAGTCGCCTTACGTCTTGGGGCTGGGAGGAAGGGAAGATGGAGGGATGCCATGAGTTCCAACCAGGGCTATCCTCTCTTAGTAGTAGAGGGTGGCACCTGGAACTCAACCTGTCCCCTCCCCCTCCCGAATGCCTCTTCCCTTCCTGGTCCTCAGGCACTGAAGGGAGCCAGATCTGGAAGTAGCAAACCAGTTGGGCCGGTTTTAGAAACTCCGGTGAGCGGAGGACTAGAGAGAAGGATGTGTGTCCTGCCCTCTCCTCCTTGCCTGCACACAGAACTGTTGAAACGCCCCCTGCCCCAGCTCCTGCTGTCTGTCTCCAGGACGGCTGGGTCCCTTTCCAGATGAGGCACTCCGGAAGCCTGGGCCCTATCGCCCTCCTGCTGGGGCTGGAGCTGGCCCTATGCAGGGGCCAGGCGACTTCACAGTACTGCGGGCCACAGGGCCAGGCGGAGAGATTGCATTTTACCCGGCTGGGCAAAGGCCGCTGGCTGGATCTTCAGGCGCGGCCACCTGGGTCCCTGGATCCCCTCTACAGGATGGTGCGGGGCTTCCTGGACATGGTGCAGCTTAACCCCTTTCCAGAAGGTGAGGATGGGGGGGGGTCTGGGGGAAAGGGCAAAGTCCTCTGACCATCACAGAGCCTTGTCACTCCCTCTACCTGTGGGGCTACTCATTTTCTACCGGGGTCTGTCCTAACTCCCTGCCGATGTGGTGCTTGTGCCGGCCAGGACAAGAGGGACCCAGACATCTTTGGCCCTGGCGCCATCTGGGAGAGAACTCCCAATAGCTCCTTCTTCCAGGATTGGCAGCATTCCTAGGAGAACTAGGACAGTGGCGTTGGTGGCAGAGGGAATGTTTTGAAATGGCTGGGAAGGCTTTGAAGTGGAGAGCACAGGGTCGGGGTGGAGGGGCTGGGGGTTCAGCAGGTGCCAGTCTTGGGGTCAGTAGGAGGAAGAGTGAAGAGTTTCAGGGCTGTGGTCTCAGGGATGGGCTGCCCTCTCCATCTCTGTTCTTTCTCTTTGGGTGGAGGGGAAGAAACGTTAGAGCGGGCTGGGCCTCTTGCTCTGAATCCCTGCATCCCACTCACCTTTGCAACCTGGTAGGCATGGTGCCCCTGTATGGCAGAGCCTCTGAGAATCAGAAATTGTGAGTCTCTGACCACTCTTAAATAGCGTCTGCCCCACTGCGCAGATTGGGGAGGTCTGGGTGGGGTTGGGGAGCAAGCTGCTGGGAAGAATAGGGTGTAACTTGGAGTGTTCTCTCCTAAGTTCTACCTCCCCCACTCCCTGATCAAGCCCAGCTCCCTGTAGCAGGTCTGGGCAGGACCTTATGGGGCAAGGTGTCCTTTCCATGGCATATAGGGTGTGTATGGGGGAGGAGTTCCCTGAACCCTCCCTCCTGAATTTCCAAAGCTCCTGTTCATTTAAAGATATGAAATATCTCCGTGATGACTCTCCAGATTGGCTACTGGCGATCTGGGTAGGGGTTGGGAAGGCAAGCTAGGTAGCAAGATGAGGTGGTAGTGATGGTAGTGATGTCTCCCTTTTCTGTAGGGCTGGTTCGAGTGGCCCTGAATGAACCCTCTTCTGTTCGAACCTCAGATGTGAGTATCAAGAGGCCAGATTATTTTTGGTGGGGATGGTGTATAAATCTCAAGGGATAGGAGGGACAGAGTTGGGGTGGGGGGGGAGATAGAGCTTTATAGAATCGTAGGATACTGGAACTAGAATGAACCTTCGAGATTTGTGAGGCTGGGTGCTATAGTGAAAAGAGGACTGGATTTGGAGTCAGGAGAGATCTGGATTGGAATCTCATCTCCCACAGGCACACTAGCTGTGTAATTGTGGGCAAGCCTCAGTTTCTTTATCTGTAAAAGAAGGCCATTAATGTCCATACACCCATCTCATAGGATAGTGAATCAAACAAAAGATTGTGTGTAAAGCACTTTACGAACCTCAAAACACTAAAGCAAATGTCAGCTATTAGCCTGGTGGTGCAGTGGTTAGAGCTCTGGAGCTGGAGTCAGGAAGACTTGAATTCTTGCTGGCTTGCCTCTGGGCAAGTCACTTAACCTCTGCTTGCCTCAGTTTCCTCATCTGTAAAAGAAGGATAAGTTTAGTACTTAGCTCATGGGGTAGTAGTGAGGATAAAAACTTCAAAACATCTCTGAAATATACCCCTTTCTCTCTTCTGACACTGCCACCCCCCTGGTATAGGGGTCATGTCTGGACTATTACAATAACCTGCCTGTTGGTCTGCCTGCTGCTAGTCTCTCTGGGCTCCAACCCACCTTTATTCAGCCATCAAAGTGATTTTCCTAAAGTGTAAATCTGACCACGTCACTCCCCCATTCAGTAAACTCCAGCGGTTCCGTCTCCTCCAGGATCAGCTATGAAGTCTGTTTAGCGTTCAGAGTCCTCCGTAACCTAAGCCCCCTCCACCTTCCCAGTCTTCTCCTAGCACCCCCAACCCCAACCCCATACGCTTTGATCAAGTGACATCAGCCTCCTTGCTGTTCCTCAAACAAGACCCTCTATCTCTTGACTCCAGGAGTTTTCACTGGCTGTCCCCCAAGCCTGGAATGTCCTCCTTCCTCACCTCTACCTCTTGGCTTCCTTCAGGTTCCAGATAAAACCCCATCTTCTCCTGGAAACCATTCTCAAATCCCCCAATTCTAGTGGCTTCCCTCTGTTGATTGTTTCCTATCCCTCCGGTATGTAGCTTGCTTGCACTGAGTTGTTTGCATGCCACTCCCCTGTTAGAGTGTAAGCTCCTTGAAGGCAAAGACTGTCTTTTGCCTATTTCTATATCCTGAGTGCTTAGTGTGGTCCCTGGCACGTTTTTGTTGTTGCTGAGTCTTTTCGGTTGTGTCTGACTCTTCGTGACCCCATTTGGGGTTTTCTTGGCAAAGATACCAGAGTTGTTTGCCATTTCCTTACAGATGAGGAACTGAAACAAACAAGGTTAAGTGACTTGCCCAGGGTCACAAGGCTAGTAAGTATCTGAGCCCAGATTTCACTTCATGAGGATGTCTTCCTGATTCCAAGCTCCTTGGCTTGATGGCTGTGTCACTGAAATGCCCTCCTGGCACACAGTAGGCACTTAATAAATGCTTATGATTGATTACTTTGCAAAAAAAAAAAAAGCACTTTGCAAACCTTGAAGTACCATATAAACATAGCTATTATTATTATGATTATCAGCGAGTCCAACACCTTCACTTCAAAGACAAGGTGAGGCCTAGAGATTGGAAGCGACGGGCCTGGTGTTACCTGTCGGCATCCCATAGTGTTACCTAGTGGCATACATTGTTGTTCAGTCATTCAGTCATGCACAGCTCTTCGTGACCCTATGGATCATAGCGCACCAGTGCTTCTTGGAAAAGAGACTGGAGCAGTTTGCCATTTCCTTCTCCAGTGAATTAAGGCAGACAGAAGTTACAAGGGACTTGCCCAGGGCTACACAGCTATTAAGCTTCTGAGACTGGATCTGAACTCAGGTCTTCCTGAGCTCCAGGTACAGCTCTCTATGCACTGAGCCACTTAGCTGCTTCAGTAGCATACACAGGGAGGCTAAAACCCAGATCTTCTCACTGCCTATCTTACAGGTAGTGGTCTTGAGTTCAATTCGCTTTTGGTCCAATTTCCCATTACCTTCCACCCCTTCAAGGAGGGGTGATTGGGAGCGGATTAAGGACCACGCTATCTTAATCTGTGAATTATTTTTGCAGCTAACTTGAGTGCTCAGCTCATTGTTCAGTGCTGGATGTCCATAAACTGAGCAAAGGGCGGGGTTATAATTTGGGAGAGGGTGGCAATGGGAGGGCTAGTCTGTCAGTCCCTTCTGAGTGTTAATTAATTATGTGTAGGGGGAGACGGAGAAGGTGGACTGGGCCAGAGGTCCTGGCTGACATCTTCCCTCTCTCCCTCCCTTACCACCCGCTGCAGGTGGTCCGGTATGAGGCTGGCTACGTGGTGTGTGCTGTGATTGCTGGCCTCTTCCTCCTTATCGTTCCCACCGTCGGGTTTTGCTTCTGCTGTTGCCGTTGCCGCCGGCGCTGTGGGGGCCGCGTCAAGGTTGAGCACAAGTCTATGGCCTGTGAGAGGGGCAGCCTCATGACTTTCCTGCTGCTCATCACTCTTCTCCTCCTGTAATCACGGACCCTCCATTAGGGGACCTGGGAGGGAGGGGTGGCCAGGAGGGACAGAGGGAGGCAAATTGGTATGGTGTGGTATTAGGAGATCCAGGAGGCTCAAGTGCACTTCACTGTGTTTTGCGGGGAGGGGAAGCAGAGGATTTCTGGCTCCCCTAATCCCTGGTAAGAGCCTTGGGGGCATCCCCTGCCTGCTGTGGATACTGACCACAGCTTTCTCTCCCTTCTGCAATAGGACCGGTGTGATCTGTGCTTTCATTACCAACCAAAAGACACACGATGAGGTAGGCCCTGGTGTCCGGGCTGTGCCTGGCGTGCTGAATTCCCTACAAGGTCTGGTCTCTGATGTCCCCCAGGTGAGCAGTAATCCTTTTTTTTTTTTTTTTGCCGCAGCAGCAGGTGAGCAGGGAAGCAACCAGATTGTAGGTGGTCAGGGAGGCAGCCAGCTGCCGCTTGGGAGCTAATTGTGGCCTGTGGGTAGATCCAGTGGATAGGAATTGCCTGGAGAAAGGTAATGCTCCTGAGGCTTTCTAGGTAGACCTGGAGGAGGTGAAGGCACCAGCTTGGATTTGGTATTTCCTTTGCCTCTACAGGAGCTGAAGGCAGTGGCTGAGCAGTTCTCCATCCCCCAGAATCGAGTCTTGGAGGAATTGGATGGTGAGAGCTTGAGAGCCGTGGAATTCCTTGGAACCTGCAGGCATGGGCTGCTTAGGAGCCCAGCACCTCCTCAGAGGCTGAGCTCATAAAGTCCAGTAACTCCCTGGGAGGAAGCCTCCCCTCACTCCCTCAGCATCCACGCTGCCTTTGGGAAGCTCCCACAAAGGTGGGGTTTAGATCTAGGCACTTAGTGCATCCTGGCACTGAGCAAGGACCTGCTACTTGCAGAGCCCTGGGCTGCAGCTGGCAGACAATATCAAGCCCCTGTCCTTTGGGAGCCTTGAGTTCTGATCCCCATCTAATCTCTACGAGGCTGGCTTGGTCCCTGGATCTGCCAGGTCTGTCCTCCTCTCCTCCACTGACCTTTATTGTTTCAAGATCTGTCTCCCCCATAAAATTGTTCGTTGTCTCCTGTCTCCAGCTGTTGGTGTAAACCTTGGCAGCACCATCCATACCCAGCTCAGGGGCACAGTGTATCCTATGCTAGCCACCCTACAAAGACTGGGCCAAGGTAAGAGGGGCCCTGAATCCATGGGTGCATGGCATGTGAGTGTGAATGTGTGTGAATGTATTGGGGTGTGTGCATGGGTGTGGAACTGGGGTGTGTGTGTGTGTGTGTGTGTGTGTGTGTGTGTGGTGTGTGAATATGGATGGGTGTGGAAAGTATGGGTGCATTGGTGTATATGAGAAATTTGTGGAGGAAGAAGGGAGCGGAGTGAGGGTGAGAAAGACTGAAAGGGCTTTGTTCATGAGGCAGTTAGGTAGCACAGTGTTGGAATCAGTAAGTCCTGGGTTCTTATCCAGATTCAGACAATTAGCTCTGTGACCCTGGACAAGTCACTTAACCTCTCATCCTCAGTTTTCTCTTCTGTAAAATGGGGTTAATAACAGCACTTACCTCCCAGGACTGTTATGAAGATCAAATAAAATACATAAATTTGTGCTGCAAGCTTAGGAAGTTTTATGTAAATGTTAGCTATTTGATGATGATGATGATGATGATGTTGATGTTAATTGAGCTTTAAATTCAACCCCTTGACTTAATTCGTCCCACCCCTCTCAGACTTGCAGGTTTCTTTGGACCACCTTCAGCTACTCAACTCCAGCACAGGCTATCTACAGACTCAGCAAGAGCCTCTGGTTTCCTCTTTGCAGGACCATAGGCACAAGCTTCTCTCCCTGCTCCAGGACGGCCAGTGCCAGGGCTGTGCCAGTGCCCTGAGTCATATCCAGCTCTTGGAGCTGGGGGCCAATTTCAGCCAGGTGGGTACCCAGGGGCCAGCTGGCATCATAGCAGTATGGCTTGGACCTCATGGTGGTGGGCGGGGTGGGGCATGGGGGCAGTGGGCGAAGTGAGAGGCGTAGGAGTAGAACAAAGGGAGCTCAGGACTCAGGACTCTCGGGCTTGAGGTGGGACTTTGAGTGGAACCAGAAAGAGGATGGAGGAGGCAGAGACTTAACTCAGCTCTCTGCCTTCGGGTGTCCCCATTGCCTTGTAGCATAAAGAGAAGACATTTCAGAGACAGTTAGATGGTGTGGTGGATAGGGCTCTGGGCCTGGTGTCAGGAAGACCTGAATTTAAATGTGGCTTCAGACATTTACTAACTGTGTGACCCTGCACAAGTCACTTGACTTCTGTCTGCCTCATTTCCTCCACTGTAAAATGGAGATAATAGTGGCACCTACTTCCCAGAGATAACAATGGACAGTGCCTGGCATGCAGTAGGAGCTTAATCAATCCTTGTTCCCTTCTTCCCTAAAGAAATTCTAGATGGGAATTGGGTGCAGGAAAATTGGTGCATGTGTGGTGTTTCTAGAAGGAGTGAATATTTTGTCCTCCTTCTCTCTCTTCTCTTTCCCACTACTCTTTAATATTCTCAATGTTTTTTCCTTCCTCTGCTTTCTCTCTCTCCTCCCATGCTATCCCCAACTCACATGTCTTCCAAGTTGGGTTAATGACTCAAGTCAGCCAAACTCCAACCCTTCATCTACCTTTCCTTATTTCTAAAACAGCTCAATCACAGTGGATAGAATGGTGGACTTGGAGTCAGGAAGTTCAAATCCCTGCCTTAGACACTTACTCATTGTGTGCGCTTGGACAAGTCACTTAACCTCAGCCTCAGTTTGCTCACCTGTAAAATTGATATAATAATAGCACTTAGCTCATGGTATTGTGTTGGGATAATCAAATGAGATAATTATATTTAAAGTGATTCATAGCCCTTAGAGTGCTAGATAAAGGGTTAGGGACTGGACCCATGATTTCATTGATATAAGTAACTCCTGGATGGAGAAATTCCCTTTACCAATGGCAGGATATGCCTTTTCTGCACTGTACAGTTCCACAGAAACACGAGCTGTTAATTATTCTTCTGTTCTGTGCAATTTCTTCCTGCAGCTCTCTGCCACGCCTGGCTCTAGAATCTTTGGACAAGAAGATTTATAACTAAAAGAGATCATAGAAGTCATCTGTCCAAACCCCTCATTTTTAAGAGTTAAAGAATAAAAGAAATGACTTATCCAAGGTCACACCAAGCAATAAATAGCAGAGAGAGACCAGAACTCAGTTTTTCTAAACCCTCATCTAGTGTTCTTTCAAATGACTTCTCACTGCCTCGTAGGTTAGACTCAAGGCAGCCCATCTCAGTCTTTTTGGTCTTAGGACCCCTTTTACACTATTAAAAATTATTGAGGCTCCCTCCCAATAGCTTTTATTTATTTGGGTTATATCTATCAATATTTATCACATTTGAAATTAAAATGTTTTAGTATTATTATGAAGATAGTTTTAACCTTGTGGACCTCTGGGAGAGTGTTGGGGGCCCCCAGGGTTCCCCAGGCTATGCTTTGAGAACTGCAGGACTAGGTAATATATTTGAGGATTTAAGTGTCTGGTTTTAAATAAACATCTTCTGATTCTCAATCCCATTTCTTTCCACTAGGTCAAGGTCATGTAGGGAAAGTGTCTGGACCTTGGGATCATAGGCTGTAGACTAGAAGGGTTTCCAGATCCAGTGTCTGGATCAGGACTGAGTTGGTTTGGGGAGGGAGGTAGATTTATCTCTATGAATTTTTGAATGCTGTGATTTCAGGTACCTTCTGTGAAGAGCGTCCTCCAGAAGTTGAAGAGTGTCCCAGAGGCCAATTTTTCCAACATGGTTCAGAAGGTGTGTATCTTGGGGGATAAGAAGTGGGATTAGACTTGAGGAAAATGGAATTCCTGTGTTTTTTCTTGGTTCAGGGTTTTTTTCTTGGTTTGAGGTTCACTTCCTAGCAAGCCATCTCACCTTCTCACTTCTGGGGAGAAGCCTCCAGACTTGGACAAGACCTTCTTCAAAATGTGTTAAGATCCTCAGATCCAGCTAAGAGCCCCTCTTAGAACTGGGGACAGGGATGGTTTTCTCTGATCTAGAGGGTGTGACCTCTTCTTCTGCTCCTCTCCAGGATAACAGCACATTCAATACACTCCCAGTTCTAACAGCTATGGAGACAGCAAACATAGTTCAAGGTGAGTTGTCCTCTGCCAGCAGGAACCCCGGGGAGGCTCCTACTCTTAACTTCCTACTGCAGGCATGAGTTTCTGTAAGCCATGGTAACCAGCTAGCAATGGACCCATAGGTCACAGAATCTCCTGTGAAGAGTTTCTCTTGAGGAAAGGATAAGCTAGGGGTAGAAGAATAATGTCTGATAGTGGAAAGAACACTAGATTTGGGTTTTGTTCCTTCACCCTACTAGCTGTGTGACCTTGAACAAGCATGACCTCTCTGAACTTTGGCTTCCTCATCTATAAAATGGGGATAATACCCATCCTGCTTAACTTGAAGAGATTTTATCAGGTCTAAGTGGGACAAAGCATATGAAAGTACCTGGTAAACTATAAAGCACTATACTTATTTAAAGTGGGAGGTGGAGGCTTTCCCTTGACAACTTCAGGGTACTATCAGGAACAGTAAGAAGAGAAACATCTAAATAGGCTCTAGGATAATAGAAGATAGAAATGTGAGTCCATAATTGTTATTGCTATCTCACACCTCCCCTTGCAGAGCTGAAGGAGGAGGTGGCTCAGATCCCAGAGGAAGTGAGGACCCTGTCTGAAGGCTTTCCAGGCTCTGAGGCTGCTGACCGTTGGAGGCAGGCTCTTGCACAGGCAGAGAACAGTAGCAGGCCTTACCTACGTATGATCCAGAGATATGAGAGATACAGGTATTGGGTGAGTTGGGGGAGGGCAGATCCAGGGGTAGAGAGAAAATATAGCTGCCCTCCTACCTACTCCCTGCCCTATGCACTCAAGATTCAGATTTCTGAGTACCCGCTCCCAACATCCTGTACTTAGCTCCTCTCATCCTCCAGGGCTTAGTTACTCCTCCTCCCAACTTAGCCTTGACCTCTAGTATTTCAGCCCTCAAACCCAGTGAGTCCTATGCTATTCATTTTTTCCTCAGCCTTTGAAACAAGGGGTATCAGTTTCCAGTTTCTTCCCATCAGTAGGATGAGGGGGTTGGAGCAGTCAATGACTTCTAAGGTTTTTCTGAGCCCCTAAAATCCTGTGTTCTTATGGTCCCAAGTGTTTCCAGATCAGTAACCGAAAGCTTAGGATCAATTCTGTCCATGTACTTAAATATTCATGTACTACTCATGTACATCCAGCCTTAGGGTTAGTGTCTTTTTCCTCTTCCTCTGGCACTGCACCCTTGGCATTGTTCTATGTTTTTATCCCTCCAAGGCCTGTGAAAGAGGTAGGAAAAGTTCATTTTCTTCCTGACCTCTCACATCTTGACTCTCCCCATCCATTTCCTCCCTACCCCACCATGGTAGGTGGATTGCAGGTTATGTGCTGTCCTCCGTGATCCTATTGGTGGTCATCTGTAACTTGCTGGGCCTCAGCCTGGGCCTCTGGGGCATATCTGCCCGAGAAGACTCCAGCCACACCGAAGCCAAGGGCGAGGCTGGGGCTCAATTTCTCATGGCGTAAGGATGAGGTGGGGCAGGGGAACTGAGAGGGGCAAGATAGGACAACAAATGGAATTGGGCTCTAAGGGCTTGGGGTGAAGGGTGCTGGTGCCAGCTGGCCCCTACTGTTCCTCCTATGTCCTAGGGAGTGGCTTCCATACTCCACAAGCTGTGGAGGTATGAGGTAGGGGGTCACTGGGCCTCAGTATGAGTCCTATTGTGTGTTTGGTGACCACCTAGGTCTGGCAGCTCATACATAGACAATCCAGGTCTTACTGTCTCCATGGCCTTATTTATTTATTTGGTCCCATCTGGCCCATGGAGCTGACCAGATGGTAGGAAAGGGGCCAGCAGTCCCAAGGATGGCTCTGTCCTCTGCCCTGTCCTTCCCTCCCCACCCAGTAGTGAAAGCTGCCCCCTTTTCTGCTCCTTCAGACCCTCCACTCTTCCCTTCCCTCTTCCTTAGCACCTGCTCAGCATGGTTCTTTCTCCCCTATGAAATAAAGAAAGAGCACCTTGTAGATAGTTACTGACCCCTGTCTTAACTTGGCCCTAGGTGGATCCAATTAGGTTTGCTTGGAGGTTCCCCATGGTCAACATGAGGCTAGTTCAGTATCCCAGGCGGTCCTGAGCAGTTCCCAATTCCATGGTTGCCTGAGGAGGAGTAGAAAGAGAGATATTTGGGTCAGGGATGGGAGCAAGCCAGGACCTACCTCCTTTTCACCCTCTTGATCCCCTGCCCTGTCTTTTCCACAGGGGTGTGGGCTTAAGCTTCCTTTTCTCTGGACCCTTCATCATCCTTATCTTTGCCACCTTCCTCCTGGGGGGCAACGTCCAGACGCTGGTGTGCCGAAGCTGGGAGAACCAGGAGCTGTACCAGGTGAGGCCTGGCCCAGGGCCTGTGGGCTGGCCCTTGTCTCACTGGATAAATAGAGACATAGGCTACCAAAGCTTCTGTCCCAGGGGTTGGGCTTAAGAGAAGCAAGGGGGGAGACCAATAGAAACACAGAATGGAAGAGACAGTGAAAAACAAACATGGAAACACTGGGGACAGGGAAAGACAAAGAGATAGCAGCAGCAGGTGGGAGTGAGAGAGACTTGGGCAGAAATCCTAGAAGTCCCTGGGTGAACTCCTTGTCATATTACTGTTGAAAACAAAGATAAGAAGTGGTGTCATTATACCCATCAGTTAATACTCCATTCTTGAAATTGAGAACAGAAACCAGGAGGCCTGACACCCAGTTTGTCCCCAATTTGTAAGTCCAGGAATTGGTGGGAAATTTATTTTCTATAGCTAAGACCACTTTCCTGTATCCTGGGAAGCTACCTGTTGGAGAAGTCTCTTGATTTGGGTTCATGACTAGGGGCATTGCTGTGTGTTATCCAATCACCATGCCAAGAGAGGCCAGGGCCCTGGGAGAAGAGGGGGCTGTCTTAATCATTGCTGTAGACTTCCTTTCCCCACTTCATGTGTAGTTTGCTGACACCCCAGGGAACTTGCCCCCATCCATGAACCTGTCCCACCTCCTGGGCCTCAAGAAGGACATCAGCATCCCTTCTGCCTATCAGTGAGTGTCTCCGTCAGCATCTTGGCCTTCTCAGGGCTGGGAAGGGGGAGATGTTAGAAATGGGGTGAGAGGTCAATGGGAGGGTTGGCCCCACCCTGATTCCTTGCTGCTCTCCTAGGCAATGTAAGGAGGGTGCTGCTCTCTGGAAGGTCCTACAGCTTAATGGCTCCTATGACCCAGAAAAGCACCTGGACATTAATAAGGTAAGAAACTTGAAAAGAATCACAAGTTGGCCACCTCTAAAAACAGGCATGGCAGGATTCTGACCCTCTCTGTCCTGGAGACTTGAGCTCCTACTGGCTTCTGGCTCTTAGGTCAGGCGGTCAGTAGCCAAGGGGGCAGCACTGGGGCCCCATTCAGAGAGGACTCTCTGAATTCAGCCCTGGCGTCTGAGCCATAGGTTCCCAGTCCCCTGGCAGCAACGCAACTAGGGTGAGGACTGGATAGCCAGAGGTTGACTGTGGTTAGGGGAAAGGGAGGTGGACATAAGGGGCACAAGAATAAGAAAGGCAAGGGCTGTAGTAGAATAAGTACGGAGGTAAGAGTCAGCTAACCCAGCTCTTGCCAATTACAATCTGTGGGAGCTTGGGCAATTCTCCCTCTCTGAACCTAATTCTCCTCATTTATAAAATGAAAGGATTAGAGTAGATGATCTCTAAAGATCAAAGGAAATAATACATGTAAAGCCCTTTGTAAATTCTAAAGCACTATATATATATATATATGCAAGCTAGTATTATATCCAAGGTCCTTTCATGCATTCATATCATGTGACTTCAGTGATGTGGCTAGGGACCAGGTGCAGAATGGAGAGCAAAGGGGTCATTGTGCTTTCTTCCTGTGAGTTTCTTTCTGTGTTTAGGGGGCCAATCTCCTAAAAGAACAGGAAGATACAAGCTATCAGTCAGGGCCCAAGAGAGGGACCTGAGAGTCCTTGTAGATGGCTAATCTGAGAGTCAGAGGTCCTGAATTCTTTTTCCTGTCCTGTTCTGGCTGTGTGATATTAGGCAAATGACTTAATCTCTTGAGGTCTCTGTTTTCCATCGATTAACTGAGAGATTTAGGCTAGCTCCTCCCAACTTGGTGGCTCAGTGGGTAGAGTGCTGGTCCTCAAGTCTAACCTGACTTCAAATCCAGCTTCAGATACTTACTAGCTGTGTAACCCTGGGCAAGTCACTTAACCTCTGTTTGCCTTAATGCACTAGAGAAGGAAATGGCCACCTGCTCCAGAATCTTTGCCAAGAAAACCCCATGAACAGCATTGGTTTAAGAATGACTGAACAATGGGGCTATGTTCTCCATCTGTTAACAGAGATTTAAGTTGGCTCCTCCCGGTTCTTAGATTATATGATTCTATAAAAATTAATTTACATGTAAAGTGCTTTGCAGTCCATAAAGCAATAAATAAATGTTAGTTATTGTTACTGCTACTAATAACAAATGCTTATTCACCTGGGCTATGAATACCTAGTTACCTCCTCTGAGTTTTGGTTTCCTCATCTGTAACATGGATGATAACACTTGTAGTATCTCACCTCCCAGGGTTATTTTGAAGCTCAAAATGGAGGTGAGATGTGTAAAGAACTTTGTAAACTCAAAGTGCTATGTAACAGTTAATTCTTTGGGCAAACTGGGGGTGATGGAGGAGGAGGTAAGAGGGGACACTTCTTTCCCTGGTTGCCTATGGGTTGGTCCTGGCTCAATATGCCTGTTTCTCCTTATCCTAGTATACTGCCAAGCTGCGGGAGCAGGTGGAGAGCTTTAATATAGATATGAAGGATCTGGACCTGCTGAATGAAGCTGCTAAGAGAGATCTAGAGGCCTTCAGGAGCAGCGGGATAGAGAAGATTGACTACCCCAGCTTCCTCACTCAGGTCAGCCTGCTGCCTCCCCTGCACGCTCCAACCCCTTGGGGCTGCCTCCTTAGCTCCTTAGTACCCTGGCCTGTTCACTCTGATCTTGGACCAAAGATCTCTGGTCCTCAGCTTCCTCCTGTATAAAATAAAGGGGTTGGACCAGATGATCTTCTGTGGTCCCTTCTACTTCTAGAGCTTATAACCTTATGAACCTGTGACATTCTCATCTAATCTGAGGTGCCCCTGCATAGACTTCTAGAATATGGGAACTGGAAAATTCTTGGGCTTCATGTCAGAGAGGCAACCCTGATTCAGAGGTCCCTGGGTAAGAGAAAGAACTTAGAGTCATGAAAGCTTGGCTGGAATCCCACTCCAGATCCTTATGTTGCCCAGTGTGGCCCTGTGCAGATTTGAATATGTCTCAGACCCTCCTCCCCCAACTCCTACCCCATTTACTCATCTGTAGAGTGGGGTTAATAAAAATTGCAAAGCCAACCTTGCAGGATTATTGTTCTTTGTAAACCCCAAAGCACTGCACATATGAGCTGTTATTATTAGCTGGCCCCTTTGCCTCATTTTAGAGATGAGAAAATTGAGGCCCAGGGATCCTTTACAGCTGCGTTCATAAAGACCTGAGAGCTCTTTCCGCTACATTCTCTCCTGTTACTGGCTACTGAACTGAATCAAGGAATGTCAGCACTGAGAGGGACCTTAGAGCCATCTACTCTAGATAGGGGTTACCCTATCTGAACAAGCATCTTCTCTTGCCCTTTGAAAAATATTCAATCTGCTTCCTCTTGGAGACTTGGGAGACTTTTTGAAGTCAGTGGGAGAGAGAGGCAAACCCATTACTTGGGCAGGGGGAGGGGGAAACAGTGAGGAAGGGGTAGCCTATTCCACTTTGGGATAGCTCCAAATTGTTAATAAGTTTTTCCTTATGTCAAGTCTAAGTAATCTACTTTTCTGCAACTTAAGTATTGGAGATAAAACGACAATAGCACAACAGTCCTTGCCCTCATTCTACTGGGAGAAAACAACATTAATATAGATAAGTAAATTAAAAATATATGCTTAGTAATTTGTGGGAGAGAGAACACTAGACACTTGAGGCTGGTCAGGCAGGCCTCCCTCCCTTCTCCCCTCCCCTTCCCCTTCCCCCACTGGAGCTAAGCCTCGAAGGAAGCTAGGAATCAGAGGCAGGGTGAGGAGGGAATGTATTCCAGATGTAGGGAACAGACTATTCAAAGGCATGGCAATGGGAGATGCATGGTTGTATACAGAGAACAAAGTCTGCCAGTTTGCTTGGAACATAGGATGTGCTAAAGAAAATAATGTTGGGAAAACCTGAAAAGACAGGCTGCAGCCAGATTGTAAAGATCTTTAAATGCTGGAGGTATTGAATGCATTTTATCTTCAAGACAGTTGGAAGCTAGTGGAAGTGTTTGAGCAGGGCAGTCACATGATCAGACTCGTGCTTTCCGAATGTCAGGCCGGATGGGAGGGGAGAGGCTGGAGGCGGGGAGACTGGTTAGGAGGCTTATTGCACAGGCTGGAGGCAGATGACAAAGGCCTGAACTGGTATGGTGTCTGTGTGAGTGGAGAGAAGGGAACAGATGAGAGAGATGTGGAAGACATAGAATCAATAAGGCTTGGCCACCCCCCACTTGGATGTGGGCCTAAGGGGGAGTGAAGAGTCAAGGACGACTCTGAGGGGTTGTAAATCTGGGTGAGTACCTGGAAGGAGAGTGGCCTACTTAACGGAAGCAAAGAAATTAGGAAGAAAGGGAGGGTTTGGGTTTTTTTTGAGGGGAGTGTGAAAAAAAATTAGTTTTGTTTGGGATGTATTGAGAGTTTCAGATGCCTATGGGACATCCAGGCATCCTGAGGGAGAGACTGGAGGCAGCATGTACCAGACAGGTCATTCTACTGCCCGCTCCTCTACCACTACTTCCTCTTGGATCCCACTGGAGACAGCCCAGGACCCAGAGTCCAAGAGCCCTGGGAATTTCATCTGACTTGTAACTGAAACCTTTTTTATATGCTGTCTTCCCCAATTAGAGGGGAATCCCCTTCCCTTATGAGCTCCTTGGGAGCTTTTCTATTTGCATCCTGAATTCTTTGAAGGAAAAGCGCTTAATAAATGCTTTTTTATTCATACATGTATGCATGCATGCAGGACTGGGTCTCAAGAGAGCAATTCAGGCTAGATGTATAGATCTTGGGAGTCATCCACATAGAGATAAAAGTTGAACCCATGAGAGCTGATGAGATCACTCACTGAGAGAGCCTGGAGAGAAGAGGACCCAGGGTAGAGTCCTGGAGCACTCAAACACAGACTTGGATGACGATCACTCAGTATTAGAGACTCATGAGGAGTGGCAGAGAGGTAGGAGAAGAACTAGAAGATAATAGGGCTGCGACAACCTATGGTGGAGAGAAGATCCAGGGAAGCAAGTCATCAATGGCGTAGGATCATGCAGAAAGGTCAAAGAGACAGAGAGACTGAGAAAAAGCCACTGGAATTGTGCAAATAAGAGGTTACTGTAAGAAAAGCAGTGTCACCTAATGGATGGAGGTTGGCTTGTGGTCAGAAAGACCTGGCCTTTTTCTTATACTATCCAAGGCTTCTTAAACTTTTTCCACTCGTGACTTCTTTTTGCCTAAGAAATTTTTATGTGACACTGGGTATATAGGTATATAAAACAGGTATACAAATCAAACATTTACTGATAATAAATCATAAAGAAATTTATTTTAAAACAGATCCTTTAGTATACATAGAATTTTTACCATTTATTAAAGACAATTGTCTCAGGGCAGCTAGGTGGTGCAGTGGATAGAGCACCGGCCCTGGAGTCAGGATGACCTAAGTTCAAATCCAGCCTCAGACACATAATACTCACTAACTGTGTGACTCTGGGCAAGTCACTTAACCCCAATGGTCTCACCGAAGAAAGAAAGAAAAAGAAAGAAAGAAAGAAAGAAAGAAAGAAAGAAGAAGGAAGGAAGGAAGGAAGGAAGGAAGGAAGGAAGGAAGGAAGGAAGGAAGGAAGGAAGGAAGGAAGGAAGGAAGGAAGACAGTAGTCCTGAATCTGAGCTGAGGTGTTTCTGGCAGCATTCATTGGTGTTGTGTGAGGTGATGGCATGCACAGTGCAAAGTGCACATGCTTTGTGTTTAGAACCAAGGCTGCAGTGAAGTCGCACAATACAGCGTGGGCAAACACTGCCAGAAACATGCATTTGATTTTGAATTAATTTTTGGTCGGGCATTCAGAAACCTCTTACTGTTGCCAAATTTTTCGTGATCCCCACATTGTACCCATATGGGGTCACAACCCACAATTTAAAAAATGCTGTTAGTTGTACTAGCTATGTGATCGTGGCTAAGTCACAGTTTCTCAGAGCCCAACAATTCCTCAAGACTGTAAGTTAATAGACAAGTTGACAGTCTCTATCAGTGGAAGGAATTTTCTTTTTTATTTTATTTTATTTTATTTTTAATTTATGGAATAAAACAAGCATTTCCATAACATAGTACAATAAAAAAGATGGATTGCACATGAAACTGCCAATCTACTATGCACATCTTGCCTTTCAATATACAACAAAATTACTATGTAAATTTCTTTTTTTTACCCCTTTTTTTCCTTCCCTATTTTCATACCAGAATTTCTTTATATTAATGGTCCAGGCACAGATTTTTCCATTTTTAAAGGAAGAATGAATAAATAGTGATACATTTTTATTTCTGGGGAGTGAGGGGAGGGGAAAGGAATGTATTTAGTAATAGAGGTGATCTAAAAAAAACACCCTCAAAGATATCAATGATTTTTTTTTTAAGAGAGGGCATTGGTAACCTTGGAGAAAGCAGTTTCAGTTACATGAAGTTTGGGAGCTAGATTGCAAGGGGTTGAAAAGCGAGTGAGAGAAGAGGAAGTGGAGTCAAGTAGAATGTTGACAGCTTTTCACAGCTAGGAGTTTGGCTGTGAAAGGAAGGAAAAAGTCTTCAAGCCATTTTCCCTAGTTTTCTTCTGAGACCAAAAGGAAAAAGTCTGATTTCTTTTTCACGCAAGAAGTCTGCAAATAATGGTAGACAATTACCCTGTTTCTTTTAGTCTTCTCTTTTTCTTTTCTTTGGTGAGGCAATTGGATTAAGTGACTTGCCCAGAATCACAAAGCTAGTGAATATTATATGTCTGAGGCTGGGTTTGAACTCAGGTCGTCCTGACTCCAGGGCCGGTGCTCTAGTCACTGTGCCACCTAGCTGCTCCCACCCCAGGCTTTTATTTTTCAAGCTACACAACTTCTTAGTCTGTCCCAGAGCAACATGTTAGCCCCATACATTTTGCTATGCCCCATCCCAGGCCTCCATGTGTCTCTCTTGCCTGCTTGGCCTATAGAAGCTGGGAGATCTCTAACTCTAGAGATGCCTAAGTGTTAGAGTAGACTGTCCCAGAGAGACTAGACATGGGAGCAGGAGAGAAGGTAGGGTGGAACCTCTTCCCAGGGTTAAACTGCTGCTCTGTCCCTTCAGATCCAGAAGCCAGTGGTGAAAGTCGACATCTTGAAGCTAGTCAAGGAGTTGGAGAAGTTGAGTCAAGCCCAGGTAAACCAGGGGGAACAGAGGATTGGTGTAGGGCCAAGAGGAGGCTTAGGAGGGAGGTATGTGGGTAGAATTCCCTGATCAGGGAGATCTGGCTTGGGGCCATGGAGCTTGCTGGGAGAAAGTGAGATGGTAGAAAGAACCCTATATTTGGGGCCAGAAGACTCACATTTTAATCCCAATTCTTTACTTCTACTGGTCTAACCTTGAATAAGCCACTTACCTCTCTGGCTTCAATTCTTTTATCTGTAAGAGGAGAGGTGGTGTGTTAGATGATCTCTGGTGTTCCCAGATCTAAATCTTATCATATTATGGTACACTGACCACTAGGGACCAAGAGGAAGGAAATAATGCCCAGGGGGTGGGGTGGTAGGATGGAACCTACGGGCTTGTGGCCTTAAGGCTGAAGGTTCCCCATCCCTGAAATAATATATCTTACTTTTTTATTGGGAGGTAGGGGCTGAGTGAGACCTTTCAATGTACCTTCCTAAGGATGCTATGAGTCTACTCTTGGGTCTACCCAGATAGCTGTGTGACCTTGGGCAAGTCTTCTACTGTCTCTGAGTCTCAGTTCCTTCATCTGTCAAATGGGGTTTCTATTCCCTGGTTAACCTAAGGGTCAGACAAAATAATAGGCTTGAAAGTGGTTTGAAGAAGGGAAAAAAATTTACAGTATTGCTATTATTAAGAGCAGCTAGTTGGTGCAGTGGATAAAGCACTGGGCTTGGAATCAGGAAGATTCCTTTTCATGAATTCAAATCTGGCCTCAGACACTCAGTAGGTGTGTGACTCTGGGCAAGTCACTTAACCCTGTTTGCCTGAGTTCCTCATCTGTAAAATGAGCTGGAGAAGGAAATGGCAAACCACTCCAGTTTCTTTGCCGAGAAATCCCCAAAATGGAGCCATGAAGAGTCAGACATGACTACAAGCAACATTGCTATTCTTTCTTTCTTGATGTCCTGGGTCCATCCCCCTCCTCCCACTCCTCCCACTTCCACCCCTGATCCCTCCAGACTGAGTCTGCCCTGGGGCAGCAGCTGAAGCAGGAGGCTCAGGCCCTACAGTCCCTTTTCCAGGAGAAGATCCTCCCTCGGCAGACCCATGTGGTGAGTGCAGGGTCCTGGGGAGAAGAGGGAAAGGGGAGGGAGGTCCCAATGGCCAGGAATCTAAGAACCCTTAGGAACAAAGATAGAATCTTCTATCTGGCATTTAAGGCCCCTCAGAATCTGGCCCTTTCCTGTGTTTCCATCCTCTCTCACTTGACCCTGCTCCTTGAACTCTACATCCATTTACAGTAGTCTTGTTGTTTCTTGAGTGTCCTACATTTCATCTCCAGATTCTGTGCCTTTGAATAGGCTGTCCCTTCTGTCTGGACTGCTCTTCTTCCTCTCTTCTGGCTTCCTGGCTCCCTCTGCTCAAATCCTTCTGCAGGAGGCCTTTCTGAGTCCTTTCTGAATTCTTGGTGACTTTCTTCTGAGATTACCCTTCATCTACTTTGAATAATATTTTGTTGTTTGCAAATTGCAATTGTCTCCCCCATTAGAAAGCAAGCTTCTTGAGGGAAGGGATTGTCTTCCTTTCTTTGTAGCCCCTGTACTTAGCTGGCATATAGTAAGTGCTTAATCAATACTTGTCACTGACTTTTCACCTTTGCTTCCCCTTACTAACGTATCTCACCTCTGCTCTCTCCTAAACAGGTGACACTGAATCAAAGTGTCCATGCCCTGTCAGCATCTGCCTCAAATCTCCAGGTGCTGGGTCTGGGGTGGGGAAGTGGAGAACACGGGTTGGGGTGCCTACTGTCCCTAAGACAGCTGAGGGGAATGACTGGGAGGAATATCAGAAAGGAACTCCAAGATCTCAGATGCTAGCGGGCAAAGCCAAGAAAGGAACTTGGAATTACCCACATGCTGTGCCTTCCTAGGAGTAGACAGTGAGGGATGTGAAAGAGATGTCACCTGAGGAGCAGGGTCTCTAGGTCAGCATTTTGAAACCAGACCTGCAATGCTCCTTGCCCTCAATTTGCACTCCTCTGCCGTCCCTCAGCTGGTGGTTTCAGAAACTCTGGTCAATGTGAGCTCCTTGAAAACTGAGCTGCCCATCCGGGCTCACTGGATCTTGAAGAATGTGAGTGAGAAGGAAAGGGCAAGAGCCGGGGATCTGAAGCAGAGAGTGGAGGTGGGGAGGGAGAAGAGGAGAAGGGCAAACTGGGTCTCCTCCTGGTGCTGGGCGTACAATTTATAGATTCTAGCTTTTTCCTATCACTCTGAAGTCTAGTGTCCCCACTTCAGAACCAGCTCTTGAGGGCAGCTCCTGGGATGTTTGAGAAGATGGGTTCTTCCCAGTCTGTTCTCTCAGGTCTTTCTAAGAAATGGGCATCCTCTTTTCTTCACAGGAAAGTGAGTGCTTCCTGAATAGAGAAATGGCATACTTCATCCAATACGTGAACTGGGCGAGAGAGATGGTGAGTGATGGGGACCCAGGCAGCTTGTGATCACTTCTGAAGTAATCTCTTCATTTCTGTATCCTCATCCACCAGTCCTCTCTTCATGTGCTGCTGTCAGATTATTCTTTGAGCAGAAAATGAATCAGTCAACAAGCATTTATTAAGTGCTTACCATGTGGCAGGTACTGTGCTAGATAAACACTGGTGATACAAAAAAGAAAAAAAAATCACAAAACAATCTCACAAAAGCCCTTGCCTTTAAGGAATTCACATTCTAATGGAGGAGAAAACATGCAAAAAAGTGGTCGTATAAGACATATACTGTGTAGATGGAAGTCAATCTCAAATGCAGGGCACTAGCAGTGGGGGAGACTGTGACAGGTCTCCTTCCTAGGAAGGAAGGTGGGATTGGAGCACGCCCACAAACCCTCTATAGATCCTCACTGTCTACAGGATCGAGTCCATGTTCCTTAGCTTGGCATTCTAGTTTGTCCCAAAGGTTTCTGTGCAATCTTATTCCCTTCCACTCTCTACACAAACCCTTCACTGAACCATTGCCCCTAAAGCACACCTTGGGCCTTCACATCTCTTTGCCTTGAATCTCTGTAAGGAGCCCTGGATTCGGAAACAGAGCACTTGGGTTTGAATCTATGTTCTGATATTACCCCGGACTTTAGATAAGTCACTTGAGCTGTATTGATGTCTCATTTTCTTTCTAGAGTGAAAAAAGGGTCAGACAAGATGATCTCTTGAGGTCCTTCTAGCTCTAAATATTTTATAGCTGAGGAAACTGAAGTCCAGAGAAATGGGAAATTATTTGCCAAAAGTCACATGAGTACAGAGTTGAAAAGCCAGAACTAGAAAGTGGGGGGTGGGGGGCTAGGGGATGGGTCTCCTGATTTCCAGCTTAGAGCTCTTTCCCTCAAATCACACCATGTCTGGTTGTTGCCTCACTGTTTGATAGAAGGATGACTTGTCACCTCAGCCAACACTGTGAGCTCCTGGAGCACAGAAACAGTGTGTGTTTATCTTTTTTGTTTCCCATACATAGCACCTGACACAGTGATGGGCAGACGGGAGATGCCCAGCAGATATTGTTTGGAGCAGAAAACCAGGCAATGTGCCCGCTTGCATATGTTTATGCATGAGGGACAATCTGGCATGTCAGAAAGCACATGGGAGTTGGAGTCAGGAGAAATGTGGGTTCATGTCCTGTCTCTGACACTTACGAGTTGTGTGACTGGGCAAATGACTTTGTCTCTCAGCCTCAGTTTCCCCATCTGTAAAATCAGGACAATAACATCAGTAGGATGTACCTATAAGGTTGTAATATCAAATGCAATAAAGGATGGCAAGTGTTTTGCAAACCTTAAAATAACATATAAATGTTAACTATTATTATCATATGTTATACAATCTATACATGTCTTTATCTGTAGACACATCCATATTAATGTATGTATACCTATCTATTTGTGTCTAAATGAATGTTCTTGTGCTACGAATCCTCCTATCCCTATATGTACATGTGTGTTTATGGTTATTCTCTTGCCCGACAAATATGCAAAGGAGTAGCTCCTGCATGCTAGGACCTTTCTGTGATACAAGATGAATGGTTTCTGTCCTTGTCTAAAAGTTGAGAGAAGATAATTATACAATTAGCTACAATATTAAGCAGTGTAAGATAAATGCTGTGCGTGAGTGCCACAGAGTGGGTTAGGAACTCAGAAATGGGAGAGATCACCTCTGGTTTGGGAAGACTCCTGAAAGAAGTGATGTTTGACATGGGCCTTGAAGGATGGATTAGAATTTTGGCAGGTGGAGATTTGAGGTGTAAGAATAGAATATTTGATAGCAATAGCATAATTCTTGAGAGCCGGGATGGTTTCATTTTTGTCTTTGTCTTTCCAACTACTAGCATTGGTGTCTGGTAGGAGCTTAATAATTGTTTGTTGAATGGAATTGAATTGGAATGGGGAAGTTATTCCAGTCTCTCTCTCTCTCTCTGTCCTCACCCCTCCATTGCATTTGCAGTTTACTTATATGTGGTGGTATGTTGTTGTTTGCCAAGGAGTGGAGGTGGAAGGAGACAGAGAGACCTCTCAGAGGTTGCTGCGATGCTCAATCTTGGGACTAGGGTCCTTGAACAGGAATGGTCCTGGGAAAAGAGATGAAATCCCTAGCCCCAGCCAATGTAATCTATGCCAAGGACCCCTTAGGGTATTCTTGGCGCTGAGTGCTTCTGCCTTAGAGTGGCTTCTGGACATTTCTTAGGGAATCTCCCCTCCCTTCTCGATGGGACACTTTTCTGTGGAAACCCTAGAGTTTTTTTTTGTTGTTGTTGTTTTTCCTGTGGGAGCATTAGAGAGGGAGAAGAGAAGGAGAATAGGGCCCTGGGGATCCAGGTCCCCCCACAACCTTTCCCTAGTAGCCTTGTCTCCACAGGTCACTGAGCACATCGCCACCTGCCAACCCCTGTCTGGGGCACTGGACAATGGCCGAGTGATCCTGTGTGACCTTATCGCTAATCCCTGGGTAAGTGGCCCTTTTCCTCATAAAATCAAATCGGCAAGTAGGATGTCCATTGTGTGGGAAGCGCAATGGGAATGCAAAAAACTGTAAAGTAGCTACTGCTCTTTAAGAGCTTATATTCCAGGTCTCCCTTCTCACCTGGTATGATACTTGTCCATCCTTGGTCCCTTGTCTCAGAACTACTCCCCCTCCCCCTTCCCTTTCCCACACCTTCCAGGAGGGGATAGAACCAAGGCTGTGCCCAGGGTCTGCCAGCCAAGGCAGCTGCCTTGGACATAAAACAAGAGAGTGGTAAGGTAACAGAGCACAGAATCTCTGAGAAGGAAAAGACCCCAGAAGCCACATAGCCCAACCTGTAATGGCTATTGGACCCCCACTCCAAGCCCTGCCTCCTCCTGTCCCTTCTCCCAGGGCTCCTCATGTCTTTGGAGATTTTTCTCTGTGGTGTCTGCATACAGGAAGAGCTCACATCAGCTCTCCCACCAGTCGGGCAGAGCTGTTCTTGGTTGGGCCCTGGGGTGAAGTGGACACCTTTCACTTGTCTGAGCCTGTGTGTTTCAGAATGCCTTCTGGTTCTGCCTGGCCTGGTGCACCTTCTTGCTTATCCCCAGCATCATCTTTGCAATCAAGACCACTAAGCACTTCCGACCCATCAGGAAACGCTTAAGGTAAGGGGCTGGTTAATAAGGTGCCAGGATCACAGAGGGTCACTAGGAATCATTTTGTCTGATCACCAACTCCTCCTAGTCATGGAAGTTGGTCATGGCCCTAAGACATCCCAGGAAGAAGTGCAGGTCTTACTCTTAAAGACCAAAACCCCCTCTGAGCCTCAAGGTCACAAAGGTTTTTCATAGGTCTGGCCCATTTGGCCTCCTGCTGTACCTACCCCACCCCAGGGCAAGGTCTGCGGTTCTGAGGGCTCTTGGGGAGGAAGTGGGCTGGCTTAGCTTCTTGTCCCCAGGCTCCCAGAGATGAAGGGAGGGGAATGAGACTCCCTAACATCCTTCTCCTGGCCACAGCTCTACCAGCTCTGAGGAGACCCAGCTTTTTCACATCCCCAGAGTCACGTCACTGAAACTGTAGGATCCAGGGTAAGGAGAAAGAATTGCTCTGTATCCCAGGGAGAGGAGCCTGGGAGAATGAGGCCGCCGAGCAGTAGGGATCACAGGAAACATGCCTCCCTGGCTCTGAAGTCCCACGGGGGGAGGGAGGAGGGAAGGAGTCCAGGGGTCTGGTGCTCCAGGGAAGCCTGAGTTCGTCTTCCCCAGCCTCGTGTAACCATTGCTACAGAGCCACCATCACAAGATAGCTTAACTCACCCGCTCACCTCCTCCTTAAGTCTTTAGACCTTAATAAAATACTTGTTTGCATTTTTGTGAGTGAAATCAATCCCCATTCCCTTGGTCCAGCTTTATCACCCCTCAGTGTACCACTTTGAATCCCTCAGCTGTCCAGTGTACCATGTTAGTTGGGCCTAGAGATTTCCCCAAACTAGAAATGTCTGTATACCTTCTGGTTCCTAGACTTGTGCCCGCTCACTATCCTTTTCATCTTCATGTTGCCGCCCCTCCATCAATATGCTTCCCTCTTTGGCTCCCTTGTATTCTCCTCTCCTTCCCACGTGAGCCCTGTAATCTACCCCCATTCATTTATTCTTTCATCCATTCAAACGTTTATTAAACATCTACTGTTTTGCAAGGTGCTATGCTAGGCTCTGTGATACAAAGATGGATAGGCTACAGTCCTTGCCCCTGTGGAGTTGAAAGTCTATTAGGGGAGACAAGGCATGTACACACCCAAAGTAGAAAGGCACAAACAAAATGCAAAGAGAGGTTTCCTGGAGGAAATGGCAAGAGTTGAACCTTGAAGGTTAGGTAGAGTTTCAGCAGCCTCCCTTGCCCTTCACCTCTCCCCCTTCCTCCACATATAACCTCATTGCCCCTCTCCTTTTCTCTGCCCCTCACCCTGGGTTCTCTCTCTCTCTCTCTCTCTCTCTCTCTCTCTCTCTCTCTCTCTCTCTCTCTCATTTACTCACTCCTGCTTTCTTTTCCATTGATTCCCTGTAGACATACCTCTCCCCCAGTCCCAAGGCCCTCTCTCCTCTCCCCTGTACCTTTAATCTGCTCAGTTGTCCAGATTTACAGAACCAGTCCCTAGGCAGGAGACTCTTTCCCTTTCAGGCTAAGGGAAAATAACCTAGGAGATTCAGGACTTTCATCATGGAAGGAGTAGGCTGAGTGGAGGACAGTGACATCCAATTTAGCCTCCCCTGCCCAGGCCTCTAGGATTAGGTAGTACAACCTTGTTCAGCCCTGATGATTCTCTGTTCTCTTTGCAGCTTCTGGGAAGGCCTGGATTTTTGCCCAGACTACCCTCGCCTGCCCACTGCCAGAGGGTGAGGTCCAAGCTGCTGATCTCAGAGGGGAGGAGCCCTGTCATCTTTGATTCCTCTATCCCCTGCCAAGAAGCTGCCAGTCTTTGGGTCGCCAAGATAAATCTTTACTACTCCCTTGGTTTTGCTGTCAGAACTTCCTAGGAAGGGGACCTGGACTTGGGATGAGGGGTGCTTCCATGGACTGGCTTCCTCCAAGGCTGCTCAAGAGTAAAAGGGACTTGATGGGTTTGAAATGGGGCTCAGGCCCTTTGGCTCTTTTTTTTTCTCTTGCTGTGTGACCCAGGGCCATTCCCTTCCTTTCCCCCCCCTTCCTTTTTCCCTTCCTCCCCTCCCCTTCCTTTTCTTCCCCTTTCCTTTCTTTCCTTTTCCCCTTCCCTTTCCCCTTCCTATGCCCACCCTGCGTGTGACTCTGTATGCGGCTGGAATGTAGAGGAGGAGGGTAGTGGGTGTACCTCTGAACCATTAAAGTGTTTTTCACTTTCTTAAGTGTCTGTCTCCCGTCCTTTGAGCCATGCCTCTTACTCTCATGCTCTGCACGTAGTAAGCTGTTCAAGTGAATGTTTGCTGAGTTCAGAATCTCAGGACTGTGCCGAGGCCCTGGAGTCCACCTAATGTTGGCATCTTGGGATGATCAAGTTTTGTGTCATGGAAAAAACACAGAGTTAAAAGACTCACTTTTCCCTCTTTTTGTATTCCCAGCACTTAGCACAATGTCTGGCACAGAGTAGATGCTAAAAAAATATTTATTGATTATTGATTGAACTTTATGTGCAAAAACTTCTCTGTGCTTCAGTTTACCTATGTGTAAAATGAAGGGGTTAGATTTAATGGTCTTTGAGGTCCCTTCTAACTCTAAATCTATGACCCTATGACTGTGTTAGAATCTTCTCCCTTGGGGCAGCTAGGTGGTGCTCCCACCTTGGAATCAGGAGGACCTGAGTTCAAATCCAGCCTCAGACACTCGACACTTACTTGCTGTGTGAACTTGGGCAGCTGTGTGCAGCACTTTCCTCTTCTGTAAAACGAAAGCCCTGGTATTAGATGATCTCTAAGGTTCTTTCTGGCTTGAAATCTAGCATCCCTGTCATCCATTATCAAATGCCATACAAACACTATAGGTAAAGCTCTGTGCCAGGTACCCACATGAGGTATACAGAGAAGAAAAAGACTTGTCCACTGCCCTCCTGAAGCTTATAGTCTAGTTAAGAAGACAAAATATAAAACAACTGTGTTTTCAAACCCCCAAATCAGAAGACACAATTATCTCTTTTGTCTTTGTTGTCATAATCATGTGGGCTTTTATATAAGCATGTGCAGTGAAGCCTCTAGGAACTTTATTCCTGGGAATGTCATAGCTCGTCATGACCACCATTGTACAGCCTGCACAAAGCTAGAACTAGCATGGAAAAGATGGGACTTTGTCCCAAGCAATGACATGAATAATGCATGCTTACTGCCAAAGAGGGCTTGCACCCTTCTTCCCCAAGAGGAGTGTTGTGTCTACATCCCACAAAGATTCAGTGCTGTTACCCCTACTCCAGGTATGCCACAGGCACCTCTTCCCCACCACCTTGCTGAATTTGCCCTGGGTGGTTTCACACGTTCCAATTCCACACTTGCCTTGCTCACTGAAATGCCTCCCACGAGGCCGTTGTCCCTATCTCATGGGCTAGTATGCACATGTTTTCATGAGTAATATTGATATTCCTTCAGCCTGTGAGTCTCTAACTTTTGTGTGGCTCTCAATATTTTCTGAACTGTGTATTTTCTTGTTGAAATACTTCCTGACTTGGATTTATTCATTTACCATTTGTCCAAATACTGGAATTTCTGGGACATTTGGATGGGTCAAGGGGAAAATAGGACAGAATTTTTATTGAACACATATTGGAGACAGCTAAGTGCTGCAGTGGATAATGCACTGGGCCTAGAGTCAGGAAGACCTGATTTCAAATCCCATCTCATGCACTTAATAGCTGTAAGCTAGGCAAGTCTATTTGCCTCAATTTCCGCAACTATAAAATGAGGATTATAATATCTTCCAAGGGTATTGTGAGGACCAAATGAGATATTTATAAAGTGCTTAGCACACTGCCTGGCACATAATAGGTGCTTATTCCTTTCTCCCTTATAAAGTATCTACCATATGCAAAGCATTGATAAAAATTGGTAAAAGCTGCCTATTAGGGGGAATGCAGGATTTGGACAATACACAATCTTTTCACTCTTGAAGGTTACAGTTTAGTAAAGGGATAAGATTCTTTGTTTGTTTTTGCTAGGCAATTGGGGGTTAAGTGACTTGCCGAAGGTCACACAGCTAGTTAAGTGTCAAGTGTCTGAGGCTGGATTTGAACTCAGGTCCTCCTGATTCCAAGGTGGGAGCACCACCTAGCTGCCCCAAGGGAGAAGATTCTAACACAGTCATAGGTCATAGATTTAGAGTTAGAAGGGACCTCAAAGACCATTAAATCTAACCCCTTCATTTTACACATGGGTAAACTGAAACACAGAGAAGTTTTTGCACATAAAGTTCAATCAATAATCAATAAATATTTTTTTAGCATCTACTCTGTGCCAGACATTGTGCTAAGTGCTGGGAATACAAAAAGAGGCAAAAGATTGTTCCCGCCCTCAAGGAGCTTATAATGTAATAGAAAGTTACCAAATTGTGTGTATCCTTTGATAACAGCTATACCACTACTAGGTCTGTATTCCTCAAGGAAATCAGAGAAAGAGGGAAAGGTTTTTAAAAAATATGTATTTATAGCAGCTCTTTTCCTGGTGGTAAAAAAATTAGAGACTAAGGGAATGTTCTTCTAGTGGGGAATGGCTAAGCAAATTGTGCTAATGAATATAATGAATGATTATTGTGAATAATTTCAGGGGAAACTGGGAAGATTTCCATGAACTAATGAAGAGTAAAGTAAGCAGGACTAGATCAATTTATACAATGTTAACATTACAGAGAAAATAATTTTGAAAGACTTTTGAACTCTGAAAATTATAATGATAAACCTTAAGTCCAAAAGAATGGAAATGAAACATCACTCCCTGGCAGAAATGATGAACTTAAAATGTAGAAAAAGACATATATTTTCAGAATAATGTGAAGTTTTGCTTTGCTGGACAATGCAGCTATTAATTGAGGGTTTTATTATTTTTTTTTTAAATTTGCTTAATTGGGAGGAAAAAGCCGGAGCAGAATCTATTATACCTCAGCTGAAGTGAAAAAAGGCAGGGGTAGCAATCATATTCTCAGACACAGCAAAAGCAAAAATAGATCCAATTCAAAGGGATAAGGAGGGAAACTACATCTTGCTAAAAGGAACCACAGACAATGAAGTAATATCAATATTAAACATATACATATCAAATGCTATAGCATCTAAATTCTTAAAGGAAAGTTAAATGAATTATAGGAGAGAATAGTAAAAGTATCCTAGTGGGGGACCTCAACTTTCCCTTGTCAGAGTTAGATAAATCTAGCTATAAAATACGAAAGAAATAAAGGAGATGAATAGAATCTTAGAAAAGTTAGATATGATAGGCATCTGGAGAAAACTGAATGGAAACAGAAAAAAGTTTACCTTTTTCTTAGATGTGCATGGTACCTTCACAAAAACTGACCATGTATTAGGGCATAAAACCTTGCAACAAAAGGCAGAAAAGCAGAAATATTAAATGTACTCCTTTCAGACCATAATGCAATAAAAATTACATTTAATAAAGGGAAACAGAAGCATAGATTAAAAGCTAATTGGAAACTAAATAATCTGATCCTAAAGAATTAGCGGGTCAAAGAACAAATCATAGAAATAATAATTTCATTAAAGTGAATGACAACAATGTGACAACATTCCAAAATTTGTGGGATTCAGCAAAGCAGTACTTAGGTGAAAATTTATATCTCTAAATGTGTATATCAAGAAAAGGAAGAAAGAACAGGTCAATGAATTGGGCATGCAAATAAAAAACTAGAAAAAGAATAAATTAAAAGTCTCCAATTAAATACCAAAATAGAAATCCTGAAAATCAAAATTGAAAGTTTAAAAAGAATTGAACTAATAAATAAAACTAAGAGCTGGTTTTATGAAAAAAACCCCCAATAAAATAGATAAATCATTAATTTAATTTGATTTAACAAAAGAAGAAAACTAAACTATTAATATCAAAAATGAAAAAGGTGCATGTGTCACTAATGAAGATGAAATTAAAGCAATTATTAGGAGTTATTTTGCCCAAATATATGCCAACAAAACTGACAATCTAAGTGAAATGGATGAATATTTACAAAAAGCATAAACTGCTCAGATTAACAGAAGAGGAAATAGAATGTTTAAATAACCTTCTCTTAGGAAAAAAAAATTGAGCTAGCTATCAATGAGCTCTCTAAGAAAAAATCCTCAGGACCAGATGGATTTACAAGTGAATTCTACCAAACATTTAAGGAACAATTAATCCCAGTACTGTATGAACTATTTGAAAAAATAGGTAAAGAAGGAGTCTTGTCAAATTCCTTTTATGATACAAAAATAATGTTGATACCTAATCCAGGAAGAACAAAAGCAGAGAGAAAACTATAAACCAATTTCCCTAGTGAATATTGATGCAAAAATTTTGAATAAAATACTAGCACGAAAATTACAGCAATATATCTCAAAAATTTTACACTATGACCAGGTGGGATTTATCAGGAATGCAGGGCTTGTTCAGTATTAGGAAAATTATCAGCATGTTTGACCACATCAATAAAAGCAACAAAAAACATATTATTCTATTAATAAATGCAGAAAAAGCCTTTGATAAAATACAGTACCTATTTCTATTAAAAACACTAGAAAGCATTGTAATCAGTTGAACCTCTCTTAAAATGATATCTAGAGCAAGCATTATCTCTAATGAGGATAAGCTAGAAGCCTTCCCAGTAAGATCAGGAGTGATGCAAGGATGTCCATTATCACCACTATTATTCAATATCATACTAGAAATTCTAGATATAGCAGTAAGACAAGAAAAAGAAATTGAAGGAATAAAAAAGGGAATGAGGAAACAAAACTTTCACTTTGCAGTTTAGAATCCTAGAGAATCAACTAAAAAACTAGTTGAAGCAATGAACAACTTCAACAAAGTTACAGGATATAAAATAAACCTTCATAAATCATCAGTATTTCCATATACTACCAACACAATCCTGCAGGAAGACATAGAGAAATTCCATTTAAAATAATTGCTGACAATATAAAATACTTGGGAGTCCACCCGCCAAGATAAACCCAGGGATTATATAAACACAATTATAGAACACTTTTCACACAAATAAAGACAGATCTAAACAATTAGAGAAATATTAATTGTTCATGGTTATGTTGAGCTAATATAACAAATATGATAATTCTATTTAATTTATTTATTCAGTACAATACCAACCAAACTACCAAATAGTTATTTTATTGAGCTAGGAAAAATAGTAACAAAATTCATCTGGA